CCTTTTTTGGAGCGTGTGTCGGTGTTAGGTATTTGGACTATATAGGTGTTCTTAGAATTTCGTCCCTTTTGCAGTATCAAATAATGTAAGATGATACATCGTCCAAAGCTACGATAAAAGCTTTTTGAAGAGATGATTGTTAACATATGGTCGAAAGAAATTGCAATGCAGTAATTGATGACGGTTAGATAAGCGCGCGAATCTAATCAACGGTTACTCTTGATTTGAATTTGGAGACTCAATGGTTACTCTTGATTTAAATTTGGAAACTCACCAATGCCCGCCATGTGGTCCCGCGCTTCTCGAACTCCTTTCCCGCGCCTTCCCATTGTTTCTTGTTTCGGCTTGTTAGGAGGTCATGTAGATGTTGGATATTTTGGAGTCCTGTGGTGTTCTTAGAAGGTCGTTCTTTTTTGCTTTGTTGTACAAAGTAAGATGATACATCATCCAAGCCACGAGAAAAGCGTTTAACTCCAAATGGTTGCATTTTCATAAACGGCAATTGCTAGTTAAGCGCAAGAATTTAATAAACAGTTACCTTTTAATTTGAATTTGAAAACTCATCAATGACTGCCACGTGCCCACGCGCTTCTTCTACTCGGTTCCACGCCCTCCCCTCATTCCCTCTTTCGGCCTGCTTGGGAGCCCATGTGGGTCCTAAGTATTTTGGAGCCCAACCGTGTGTGTAGAAGAGTCCCTTTGGCGTTATCGATAGAGTAAGATGGCATGTCATCCAGGATATAACAAAAGAAGTTTCGGAGCCCATGACGGTGCTGAGTCTTCTGGAGCTTACCAGTTTGTGTAGAACGGTCTCTTTTGCGTTATCGATAGAGTAAGATGGCACGACATCCAAGCCATGACAAACGTGTTTCATAAGACGACCGCTCACTTCGTTTAAACGAAGATACTCGAAAAAACAACGACCACTAGTTAAGCAGATGAATCTAACCAATGGTACTCTCACATTTGAATTTAAAAAGTCATTAAGCCCACCACATGGTATTCATGTGTCTCCTATTCTTTCCCGCATCCCCTCCTCCTCGCTTGTTTGCAGCACATGTCATTCTGAGTATTTGGAAGACAAGGTGTTCTTAGAAGATTTTTCTTTTCTTTTGCGCTATCAGATATAGTAAGGTATGTTGTCCAAGCAACAACACAAGACGTGTTGAAACTTGTTCTCAAAAGAAATTGCATTTTCAAAAAACAACAATGTTAGTAATTCATACATACTATGGTAGTTGAGTCATGGTGCAAAAATTATAATGTTTTCATCCAGGTGTTTGTCTTTGACTCAACTTTGTATAACACAAACCCAAGGGATATCTTCGTCTCTCGACATCCATTGAATACGTGTACGTTGAATTCAGGGGGTGGAAGATAATGGAAAATGAGGAAACATAACGACATAGTGGATGAAAGAATGGAAATATCGAAGTGGTTCACATGTCATATAATCGTCTCGTCCATGAGTGGCCTATCATCTACCACCCCTCCAAAAGCACGAAGAGCGAAGAACCAAATCCATTTTACCCATACATATCTCTAATCCCGCATCCACGTTGCTCTGTTTGCCACCAACTGCATTTAGTTATAAACATCTATCCGGTCTCAACCGTCATAGTATGTTGATCCAAAGAGCCAGATTGCCTCACTAGTATTTAACATGGGAGCTACATCTCTCAACAGATATCCATAACTAGGCTTCGTAATTATCCCCAACAATCTATTTCCTCCCCAAATAAGGCTACACCGAAACTCTTCCAAATATAGGACAGTGATCGCATGGATCGAGAACATTTCATTCTTGGATATACAAATTGAATTCTAAAAAATTCTACTATTCTGAGTGTTGCATAAGTCTGGTGATCTTAAACTTTAATTGTTGACTTTTTTATGATCACGTGCGTGACGTGCACACCCATGCGACGGTAACTAACGCATGAGAGAAGTTCTATAAACAATGACATGATACTTCAGATCCACAACAAGAGATGACACCAATCTATCCTCCGCATACCCTTCCTCACTCTTTAATGGCTCAACGCTTGCAGCGAGGTAGTTCAAATTCCCGACTCCCAACATTGTGCAGTGTTGTAGTTATATAGTAGTAGACCTACATGCTTCCTCCTATCGAGTATCCTCTATCACAGGTTTGGACCCACCAAACTCCTTCCTTAATGTTCATTGTCATGTTATAGGTGGAAAGATTGGATCAACATTATTGTGAGGTTCGTTAGTGATTTATCTCGTATGTGGTTGTATAAACTTTCCTTGTGGTACTTTGCATCAATGATCTTTGCATCGACCCCACATTTCATCTTCCTTCACTCGTCATGTTATCCTTTTGTGTTGCACTCGCTTGTGTTTTCTAAAGGGTTACTATATACTCCCTCCGTAAACTAATATAAGATTATTGACCCAAAGTGCACGTTATGCTCGCTAGTGTGAGTGCAGGGCCAAGGTTGAAAGTTTTACATCATATGTTCCTAGCTTCCTTAGGATCTCAATCCAAAAGGAACGTGGTGTTATGTGGTGACAACATTGATCTCAACGGAGTTCCTCCTTAACCGACATGAATCAAAGGCCCTCTCCTTGTGCTACATATGGCAGGCACATCGGGTTCTTCGAGGATTACCGCCATTTATTAAGTCATTTTACTTTGACACGATCAACTTCCCTAGAGGAGGACATTGCAAAATTTCAAGGTATTTCTTGTAAAAAATAAATTAAGGGCATATATGCATTTTGTTATGTTTAAGGGCTATAC